TGTAAACATAAGTCTTTTTATTCTAACTTTTGGTACATAGAAATGATGTAATTCATCAAATTCGAACATGTTCTTTGTGTAAAGTTTGTTTAACGGTCATTATTATTAAACTTCAAAATAAAAATTTGAAGTTTTTATCCGATTAACCTGATTGTATTAAATTGTATACATGCATTAAGTCAAGGATTTTATTTCGTATTAGTTTATATCCCAGTATAACAACAGATTATATATTTCGTCGTTAAATATCAATACTAATAAAGGCTGTACTTATTGGGACCGATTTCTCCGATAATGGGCAGATTTGGGCCCCGAATATTTTATGCGTTAAAGTACATAGGGTTGGGGAAAATAATTGTAAAACGGAAAATGTTAGAAAAACACAAAATCAGTCCTTAATTTTTAGAAAATGTATTGGATAAATTGTTATCATTTATACGAATCCTGCTTAGTTATTTTTTTTGAACAAGAAGCAATAGATAGAATTTAAAACTAAGAAACCTAGCATTATACGCTACTCATTGCTGGATGTATGCTGATATTATTGACACCATTTGTAATTTCTGTTAGTATATCCTGTCATTTATTTGACGATTGTTCAATGTCATCTTTCGCTGCTTTCTAGCTTTTTACTGATTCCTGGATGCCAAATACTGTGGCGTTCATGCTGCTGGTTCCTCCTGTATCTCTGACGCTGAATGACGTCATGGCGTCCATATGACAGCAATCACGCAAACGTCAATTAAACTTTGTGTTAGTACGAGGGGTGTTCAAATATGAATGCAACCGGGTAAATTTTTAGAAGTGCTTAACAAACAGAGCCCAAATATTTATCCCAATCCCTCAAAATACTCCCTATGTACCATGTGATATACAAAGTTTTAGTCTTTTAATCCAAATTTTAAATGCGTTTTCATAATCTTTTCGAGGTATACTGTTCAGACACTGGGAAATAGCCGGACCGAGATTTTTGCGTTTGGTATGTTCTTCCAGCAAGATGTTTTTTGAGCCTTGGAGAAAGGAAAAATCAAAAGGGGCAAAATCTGGCGAATAAGGAGGGTTAGGAAGCTCGACAACCTTTTCCTGCTTCAGGTATTATCATACAATGGCCACTTTGTGTGACGAAGCATTGTCATGCAACTACCTGACACCACAGAGACCAGTTGCTGGTCGACAGTTTTTGAAATATGTTTTTAATTTATGAAGGACCTGCCTTTGATAAACTTGGATTACAGATTTACCCTTTGGTACGCAATTTGAATAGTAGGACCTTGAATGGTAAAGAAAATTACATACATGACCTTTTGACGCCCATGGTGCGTTTTGTTATGCAAGGGGTTTGACTTCCTTTGGTTGCCCATATTTTGTTATGTATCTTATAACCCGAGCAAGTTTTTGTTCTTTTGTAAGGTGATTGGGTATCCACCTGGCACTCATCCTTTCAATTTTTTTAATTTTTTAATCACGTTTGAGAATTGTTTAAGTGGCTCCTACAGAAAAACCAACGTATTAAGCTATATACCTAGTTCAGTAGCAATCATATCCTTTACTTTTTTAACCATTTTTGGCGAAGTTGCAGTTTTCGGACGACGTGCATGAGGTGCATGAATCCACAACACTTGAATTTCTGACACCACCGTGTGACAGACGAAATAGAAATTCCATTGTTCCCATAAACACGACATATTTCTATCGCCTGTATACAATGTGGCCATACCACGTGACTTTTCGGGTACGGAGCACGCCGATGTTTTACCCGATTCAGCTATGTATTTTTATTCATAACTTATTTATTACTCAACCGATTTTGATCAGATAAGGCGCAGAGTACCCGTAATTATATCAGCTTTCCACGGTATATCAAAATTCTGAAAACCCCCGAATGATTTTTGAGAACATTCGAGTACAGTTTTCTTCTCATAGCCGGGGCCGAGGGGAACGGTACACACTCATTTGTCATAACAAGCGATTTCTAGCAAGTCATATGTTTTTTGTCACTATTTCATAGACAAATACATGTTACATCTGATAAATTTACTATGTCCAATGTATCGAGTGAATGCAGTGATATTGTAGTATATTTTCATAAAGTTATGTTGAAATGGTACGGAGAAAATATGTTAAAATAACACTGCATTCACTCGATTTATTTATATTTGAATACCGCTAAAGTATTTTCTAATTAAGAAAT